TCGCATGAACGGTATACGAGTGGAGCGACTGAGCAGAGCGCACACGCATAGAGCGGGATAATACGCAGAGCGTCATTCCACGTGAAAGTGAAACCTGAGCGGTGAACTAATTTTCGGCAGCCGAAATTTCGGTGCATCTCTAGCTATTGGCGACATCAGAAATGGATATTATACAATAGATGTTCTTTTGAACATTTTAGCAATTAAAAAAATATTAAAAAATGATCTTTTGCACGGCACCCCTGCTCTCGGCTATTGCAGACAGAAACAATACTGTACTACATCGATGTTTCCTGTCGGCTCAATTTTTGAGTGGATTTTGCTGTTCCGATTCGCATGAACGGTATACGAGTGGAGCGATTGAGCGGAGCGAACACGAATAGAGCGGGATAATACGCAGAGCGTCACACCACGTGAAAGTGAAACCTGAGCGGTGAACTAATTTTCGGCAGCCGAAATTTCGGTGCATCTCTAACTATTGGCGACATCAGAAATGGATATTATATAATAGATGTTCTTTTGAACATTTTAGCAATTTAAAAATATTAAAAAAGGATTTTTTTACACGGCACCCCTGCTCTCGACAGACGGCACCCCAGGGTGCCGCGGCACCCCGGTTGGGAAACACTGCTATATTTCATATCCTAATGACATTAATGTCATGTGTTAAGTCCTAATGAAACAAAACATTTCCAACAAAACCTTTTTTCTTCTTAGCAAAGGTCTGACCTCACCCATTCATTTCATCTACATAATAACCGAGGAGAGGTCTTGACGTGCGTTTAGTGGTCTATACCGAGGAGATCTGGGCTGCATCTTCAGAAGACGCATTTTTCGTTACTCCTCTAACCTTAAGGGGGCTTTTTAGCTTTTGGTTAGCTATCCGTTTCTGGAAAACATCTGAATCATTTTATAACCAAAGCCAGCTGTTGCACAAGTCAATGCATGCGTGTGAGTGAGTGTATGTGTGTGTGTGTGTGTGTATTCGTTTGTATGAGGAAGAGGGAGAGAGTGTGAGTATCTGTTCGCTTTGCTCTCCAAAAAGGAAAGAAAGAAAGGGGAAAAAAAACGCTTGGACGTCGTTTTCCTCCCGAAACTTTTTTTTTTTAGGAATGAACGCCGAGACGTGCGTTTCATACTGCGAAATGACATCCATGGATTCATATTATAGCCCATCTGCACCGCAAGGTAGGGATCACCAGGCGAACCCTTTCAGGGCATTCCAGGCGAGTGACACCAAATACAGCCCCGCTTTCCTGACCAACAAAGGTCAGGCGTTCGGGGAAAAATCTGGGAGCCCGTTCCAGCAGGAATGCCAGTCATTGGATGCCACTGCTGGGGAAGGCACCTTTAACAAATACCACCTCTTCATGCAGAGGTCCTCCTGCAAAACTCCCCCAGACAGCAGCAAACTCCAGCAGGAAAGCGGACACAACGGAGGGCTCATCGCGTGTTATGGTGAGTTTAAAACAAGGCATTTGTAAAACAGTCTTGGTACGCAGAGAGAAGCAACTCGAGATGTGTTCTTCCTTCTCGTTTTTACGGCAAATAAATGCAGAGCGAGAGTACAAGCAGGTTCTAGAAGCGTAGCATTCAACTGCATTGACATTAATGTTTTTATGACTCTGTTAAGACAGGATAATCTGCAAAGGCCTCCAGTAAAAAGCTACAATTAGACCAGGTTATTATACTTGAGAGGCAGTTATTCGTATTAATAATCACATTAGAGTAAAGTCCATCTGTAGGCTAATATTTACAAAGCAAATGCAGTGGACTTCACAACTTACTACCAATATAACTGGCTCAGCTATCACAGTAACACAATTAGGAAGAGGCATAACCTCCTAAATTACATTTTACCTTTGAAGACCGAATTAAATTATATTTAATGCGATAATCTGAATTACAATCCTTAATACTGGATCTGAATCAGACAATTGAATTAACACGTTTCGGAAGGCAAACGCAACTAATTTTATACGCTTTTACAAGTTGTCGACGACACATTGAGTGTTTTGAAATGTTCTCTCGCTTGTATGATAGCAGGCTCGGATCATATGAAAACCCATCAAGGCTAGCAAAGCCAAGACTAAGAGAACATTTTTGCACAATTCTAACAGATATGCAAGCGCGTAGCTACTCCTGCACTAAGAAAATTGAGTGGTGTGCTTTGGAATTAGCTATATGCAATACAATTTTTCAAAATTCCATATATGTTAATTGTTCAACATTATTGTGAAAATCGGAAGCTTTGCACTGAAAACTGAACTAGCACACAAAATCAAAAGAGCTATTTTAACCAATAAGGTGGTACAACCAAGTTGTACATTTAGTAATAAACTCTGTAGAGTAATTTCACCTTCTATAATTGTATATTTAAAAAAGTAACCCACTTATTTATTTATTTCAACACCTTCTAGCAATCTGTGGATGAAGCCTAGTGTTCGTGGATGGAAACGGCCCTGAGGGCTTGTAAAGGAAGCTAGGAAACTAAATAAGTTCAGCATTAGGTACACGATAACTTTTCTCAGGATTCCCGTCCTTTGACATCCATCACTATCTCATGCTATTTATTAACAGTAGTAGTAATAATAATAATAATACGATACGAATGACCTTATTATAAAATAAATAAATAAAGTCTAAAATAGGAGGGAAATAGGAGGGACACGGAAGCCAAAGAGCTGGTAGCGGTAGCCCATAATGAGGTTGGGAAAATGTTTCAATGTGTCCATAAAAAGTCTTCTGCAAATGTTTGTTTTAGTTAATGCATTTTTAACAATGCACATATTTTAAGCTGACACTAATGTGTTTAAGATTCAACGAATTTTATCGACTTTAAAACGTCAGGTGTGCTGTGCGACCATATATTAAAGCTGAGCTGTCTGGTGCTTAAAATAATAGAAAAACTGTTTTATAATCACTAAAGCCATTTGTAAGACTGCATTATTTTTGGCTCATTCAAAAGTAGAATATATTACCAAAAAAAAAAAAAACTTTCGGCGAAAATGTCAGGGAAAAAAAAAAAAAAAAAGTGTTTTGGAAAATGGCTCATACCGACATACAATTACAAATACATATAGGCTAACACATTATAAACAAAGCATTGAATAAAGTAAAAAAACACGATTGACCTTTCAAGAAGAAGAAAAAAAAAATTTTCTGACACGGCTACACAGTCTCTTGGTATTTCCTTATAATTCAAGATACCAGAAAAACACATAACACTGACTGCAATTAAAAAGGGCAAAAAGAATATCCTAACCACGCTATATCTCAATCTGTTATAGACATGCGACAATTCTATATGATATGAGTGGAAAGTGCAATAGCCTACGGGGTCACCTTATAGCCTTAGTTGTCAAAAAGACTTGAGGAACAGCATTGTAAAAAAGACCTTAAGAACATGACGAGATTATTGTGAGGCATATTAGTGAAATAACAAAGAAAAGTGAAAATTTTTTTTTTTTTTAAATTAAAAACAAAAAACAGCAACACAATAACAACGGCATTAATAGTAACACTTTTGGAGATATAGGCCTACTAATTAAATAATTGTGATCGCATTCACATTTTCATAACGACCAAACACAAAAGCCATCATTCGTTTACAGCTGCAGCTTTCGGCAACGCGCTGCATAATAAACGGATGACGCAACGAGATATCGACAGACATTAGATTTAATAATGTCTGTTGTGCAGATGTTGTCAAATAAAAGTCCTATTTCCCAAACTAATCAAAACCTCTCTGACAGAAAAAAGACCATGTGAGTTGATTAACAGAACCTTACAAGCCAATGGCAAAATTAGCTCGTTTAATTTTAAGTGAACCTGTTTTAATAGGAAACCCTTTACAATAACTTAAACGTCATTATTAATATACATGATGTAACGCCTTACAGACCAGCTGTTGATTTAGATTCATAAAGGCCTGTGAACCGATATTTAAAACTTATATGAACCTAAATGTTATGACTTTTTAAAAATATATTCATGTACATTACCAAGGACCTTTTATGCATTGTTTGTTCATAAATGAAAATTATAAATTGTTACTTTGTGATTGGAAGTAATTACAAAGTAAGTAGTTACTTTGTCAATTGCAAGTAATTGATCTGCTCACAAGGTATAATATTACTGCCTGTAATATGAAGAAAGTGTCAGTCATAAAGAGATGGATTTACCTTCAGCAGCTCATCATGCATAAAAAAAGAAAAAAGTAATAGAATAAAAAAATGGATGTCCATGCTGAGCAGGTACTTACTGAAATCAGTTACAAGTGCTGATGTTTTTAACGATATCCTGCTCTATTCATGACTATTATTAAATGGTTGCTGCAGAATCCATGTCTTTGGTTGCAAAAGAAACTCAGCTCAAAGGATTAGTTTATTTTTAATAAGGGATAATGTAGGGATCTAGAGGTTACTGAACACTGAGTAACTGACTTAAATTGAAAACATGTTCCGTCCATTTCAAAACAGATGAACGAGTTTATGATGTTTGTGTGCAATATTTATGATATTAATATGTTTGCAATGGACATGTGTAACTGCTGAACGCTGCCACAAACAAAACCCATTTAATACAAGATGTTGATCATATAATTAGGAAAAAGCAACTTTGAAGCACAAAGAATAATAATCAAAAGAATAAAAAAAGAATAATAATGAGGCTGGCCGATACAGATAACTATCTTTTCATTAGGACAATGAAATTACAAAAATGTGTCTAATTTGAAAGACCATTAGGATTGTCAAATAGTAAATCATAATATAATATTCAGACCTGCATTTTATTTACAAGAACTTGTTTAAAGGTAATGACTCATTTTGCTCTGAAGAGACATCATTACAGCAACTCAAAAAGTGCAACATACAAAATGTCCTGTCAGAGAAATTTGTTAGGCCAAAATTAGTGATTTTTTTGTAGTGGAGTGGTTTTATGAGGTGTGATGCCTAAAGAGGAAAGACAAGAAGTTAGTGAATAAATAAATAAATGGCTCTGTTTAAACCATGATACTTACCAGCATCGAGCGTGGCTTACTTAATTCTGTTTTTTAAAAGGAGCCACAGTCACAGACTAGACAAAGTCACATTTCCCCTGGGCATGATTATTTTGTCGAAGAGGGTATGTGGTTTTCAAAACAAGCTTTTGACTAATTCCTTCTTTGTGGTCAGCACCAATACCAAAAGAAAACGACACTCTTAAAAGGGAGCTCTTCATCACCCCTTCAGTGAAAGCCCAATTTTACCACAGCATTATCCACCATTTACTAACACGAACACTAGCATTGTCCTTACAAAAAAAGATCACTCATATAGGTCAAATGCACATAGACAAGGTTCCTGTTAATGTAGACTAAGCCCAAAAGCAAAGGGAGTCCATGGAATGTCAAAGGATGACGACTTCATACAACCTTGTAAAACAAATGCCTTGGACAAATACACATGCGTCACCATCAAAGCATTTGCATTTGGCTCGAGATATTGATGGAAGAAATCACATAAACTTGCATTAATATTAACACTAGGCATCAATTAAGCATGTACTCACAGCACAAGTATCCACCGTAGATCATATCATGATGAACAAAGTACATAAGCAATTCAGTATTATAGGCAATTGATAGTCGATATTATGGGCTAAAATATTTACAGTACAATGGTTTGGCAGTTAATCGGTTAGGGAATGATGATGGCTTGATTGACAGTCTTGTACAACAGGCAACATCACAACTTGTGTTTGGCTTCGTTATTGCTTCTTTTTCCAGTATTATTTTGGATTTTGGTGTTTGTGTGAATCAGTGAGGCTCAAGCTTACTCATAGTTTGGCTCTGCTGAGAGCAACAGCAAGACACAAAATATTATATTAGGTAAGGGAATGGCAAAATTGAAGGTCTTTGATCCAATCAGTGTTTGAGAAAACTTTTGCATAAAATAATAGTTCGTAATTACATAAAATTTCAAGAATTATGACTTTTTATATTCCTAGTTTGTGTACGACTGTTTACATTCTAATTGCTTGCAAACCTTTTTTAAGCACTCTCAGTAAATCTAGCAAACTATGATTTTTATGAGCGTTTGGCCAATATGATGAATAACTATATCAAAGGAAGTAGCTCAGCTGCATTTCTATAACGAGCATATACAAAACAGCAAGATCTTTTTTTCCCTTTTGTGAAACCCAATTAAATACCGAAGGTAGGGATAAAAAAAATGATTAAAAATGTTATAAAAATTAACAGAATTATTTTGAGCATTCACTTTTTTCAGTCCTATTTGTCATACAAATAAATAAAAGGAAATCATACAAATGAACATGAAATGGGGAAAAAAAAAAAAAAAACGAAAAAAGATTTTACATACTGTATATTTTGACATATGCTAAATATATAATAGTATAATAGTGATTTGTTGTACTGTAATTTCTAAAGAATATCAGTTACTGGTTAATTTATATTTAATTAATGACACGCGTGTGAATTATTACCATGTATTATATGAATTTACTTAAGTAATAACTTACAATGTCTATAGTACTTGAACAGTACAAAATTAATGACAACATAACTATGAACAAAATATCACCATGTAAACTTCCAAATATCACTACAAGGTATCAGAGTCATAGCACAAATTTCACATCTCATAGGAGATAAGGCCATCAGCCTAGTTTTGGAGCTGCAGTCTGTTTCAGCAAAGAGCAAGCATAAAGGGAGAATAAAGTCACAGAGGTACTGCACAACCTGAGGAAAAAAGGCCATTCCCATAGCCTGTTGATCTAAGGAGAGGTGACAAGGACTTGGGATCATTTTACCAGTTAGCTCAAAATTTGGCTTTACAGTTTACATTAGCTTCAGTCTGCTTGCCTAAACGCGGCACGCCAGCAGTATGCTTCAAAGACAAGGCCTCTATTTAAACAGCATAATCAAACCCCAGTAGATTCCTTCTAATGGGTCCTCAACTACTAGTGAACGGCTGAGCATTTGAGGCGAATTTTTTTGAGCACATTTTTTAAGCAAACCCTTGTTTGGAAATTTGTTGCTTTAATTCTCAACTATTGATTTGGAACTTATTTATGACATAAAATGTAGACATTCTTTATTATTACTATTTTTATAGGGATAGTTCACAAAAATAAGAAAATTCTGTCACTTACACTCATGTTGTACACATTGTGCTACAATTAACACTAGACTCCGCTGACTTTAATTGCATGAACATATTCATATTATTATTTTTTTTCCACAAAAGTTAGTCAGTAAGTCATGAGTTTAAAATCATGTACGAGTAAATTACATGGGGGGGGTGGGAGGGGAGCTAAACTGTTTCTGAAGATACTAAAACTATAATATGTCTTTATGCTACATTACCTTTTGGCTCTTTTCTGTATGTTTTTTTTTTCTTGACATTATCTTAAACGACATTCATTTTTTTTTTACAGCATTCCATAGTGGTTGTTAACTACAACAATGCTCCAATGTGGTTTCTAATGCCATCCAGGAGATTCCAGACTTTACTGATGATTTGGGAAATGCAATGTCAACTGCTAAACAAACAAAACGGTACAAAATAGCACAATAAAAAATAAAAAGAGAGAGCACAAGGCAAGCTGTTGCAACATGTTTAAAGTGATTTAATTCTGAAACCCTTGCAACAAAAAAAAAATAAAAATGCTCACTGAAAACTGTGATATATTTGTACCTAATGACGTTCCAAGTCAACGTCTTACAGCCACAGCCGAAATCACCAAACTACTGCACTTACACAGAGTACTTTAACTCCCTATATTTTTCAGAAAACCACCAAATCTGATCTCTCTGTAATCATAATTGTTGGAAAGGCAGCAACCTAACCAAGTGGTGTTAGTAAAACCAGCAAAAAGACACCCTGTGATTTCTTTTTGACGGTGCGTATGTATTCAAACTGCAGTTGATAAACTCATCCTCGGGTTTTAGTAGTCTTGAGTTCAAATACTTTTTGTCTCGGCACTCAGCCGGACGAGCTGAGCGAGCTGTGATTTATCGCGAGAAGCAGCTTAAAGGAAATGCTGTGTTTTCTTGCCCAGCATGTGCTCTTTGCTGCAGCCTGCTGGGATAAATCGTCCTTTAGGACTAGCGGTGTGTTTGGACTTCTCTGCGGATACCTATCAGATTCTCACTACCGAGCGTTTTTTCAGTACGCACCAGCTGAGACGCAACTCTCCCTCTAAAACAACTGCCGTTTTGTGTGTCATTTTGAATAGAGTCATACAGTTCACTCTGAAGTCCGAATCTAACACAAGAACAAGAGGTGACTCTAAAATGTAAAGCAAGTCAAAGGAGGAGACGTCCCTGTGGTTTGGTCGCTCTATGTTTAGAATCGAGCTGCTGTTGTCACATCTGCCTTTGACTATGTGATTTGCTCTGGTTTTGCAAATGGCTGCGTGTGCAGACGTTTACTAATGAGGCTCCATCTATACTAATATCTTGTGGTGTCACACTCACAATCACCAATAAAAAAAAAAATGGTTCACCGTTTCCATATACCACCAGCCGGAGCCACTCTTCATAGCACAACCTATCAATCTCTCCATGCCGTGTCCGTCTGTAAGAGCCTGAAATAATTAGATAGCGGAAGACTGCTGGCCTTGCTTCAGAGCACCAAGCTGCCTATTACAATTCAATCCATATTTTAAGCACCGAAAACAAACTTAATTACAGATAAAAACAAAAGCTTAGATGAGCAAACAGTCTTCCTCAATTTCCTTTGCCATTTGCTTTCAGTCATAATAGAGATGAAACCCAGCCCGACAATGTCTTATTTATGTGTTTTAATTTTTTAAACATTTTCAGGAGCTTTGGCGCATTTCACCATTAACCCTTCACAGAGACCCCAGGTAGCCTAATTTATAGTGTTTCTTTTATTTGCCTGCTGCTGACCCTAACAATCAGATTCTGCAAAAAAGCATAGAGGATGCCCTGCCGCTTTACAGCTAGTTAAATTACACTTTGATGTGTTCCCCCGTTTTCAGCTGGTACTAAATGACTGCCCCTTGTAAAGATCTGACCCTTGCTAACTCATAAGGTCGAGCACCGACATCCTACAAAGCCGGGAACTTTTTAGTGCGAGTGGGTCTGGAACCACTGTGTGAGCCATTCATGCATATTTTATGAAAATATATAGTGGTGCCCTTTTCTCATGATTTATAGGATATATCAAATGGTGACCTATTTTAAGATATTTTACTCTGGAGTCAGAGGTAAAAGGAGATGCTGTAAAATGGGTTTACAAGCCCCATTCTTGCTGCGCATACAGGTGTGAATCTACTCAGGTTAAAAAGCCAATTAGTCTTTTTCCGGAACCTCACCCGTCTCCTAACCTAGAGCTGAACAACTGGCAACTTCTGAGGTGACAAAGCCCTCCACGTTGGTACGACACTGCTGTTATAATACTTTTAGTGCGGTATTGACATTAGAAATCCAATCAGATTAGATGCCATGTCTGTTTTACCTCATTGCACTGGGAAAGCAAATGACTTCACACATCCCTCACTCTGTAAAGTAGCAGAAAAATGGATGTGCAGTCTTGGAATCAGTGTTATAAAAGTTGACACACAAATAACTAAATGGAAAACACACAAAAAAACATTATATGTCCACATGGAAAATGGAATTACAAATAGAAAAAAAACCTGGAGAAATAAAATCCCACACTGTGCCAAAGCTTGCAAAAACATATTTACATTTATTCATCCAAAGCTACTTACAATTTGAGGAATACATCAAATGATTCATCTTAAAGAGGCAAACAGACACAGAAAGTGCTCATAATACCAAGTTTCAGGCATTGTTCAAATAAGATAGACTGCGGATTAAGTAAAGAGAAGCAAAGTTTTATTTAATTTTTATTACATAACATACATCATATTTAATGCAACCTACACTAACGTTTAAAAGTTTGGAATGAATACTTTTACTCTTCAGTGACACAAATTGTTTCAAATATATTTATAATGACAGTAAAGACACTTATAATTTTACAAACAATTTCTGTTTCAAACAAATTCTGTTCTTTTGAACTTCCTATTCAAAGAGTTATGAAAAATGCATCACTGATTCCACAAAATATTAAGCAGCACAACTGTTTTGAATATTGATAATAATAATAAAAAATGCTTCTTGACACAATACCAAATCTGTATATTAGAATGATTTATGAGCTGATTTATGAGCTGAGACTGGCAGCCATTACCGCTGCGAGTCTGACATCAAGCCATGGGTCTTAAAGACTCTCTCATTCCAGACCCAATTATGGAATAATTCAGATATTGTGATTGAAGAACTATGAAGGACAACACTACATTGTCTTGCCCAATACTATATAGGCAATTCTTAGATAAAATACAATAGGTGTGTTTAATTTCTTAACATGCATTGCAGGAATAATGAACAATATCAATCTAGGTTAATTTTTACATTGCTCAATAATACATATATTATAATTAAATTATGAACAAACATGGCTTTAAGATTAACAACAGCATACATTAAAAACGCAGTAAAAAATTGTACATTGTTAGTTCATGACACCCACATTTTATTGTAAAGTATAACCTATATATTTTTATTCCTAAATGTCACTGTGAAAATAGATTAAAAACTGGAATCACACCAGATTTGAATTATTAATATTTAATTAGTATTTAATGTTTTAATAGTAAAATATATATATATATATACAGTATGTTAATATAACTTGACTTAACATACATAGAAATGTGTGTATTATTATAATAAATATAATATAATATAATATAATATAATATAATAAAACATTTTTTTTGGCTTAATTACTTAGTACTAATTTAAGTTATTGCAAAGTGTTCGTTTTCAAAACGTTTATCCTACGTAACAGCACCCTGGAGAGATTTTGCTGAAGAACACAATGAATATGGAAGAAGAGATGCTAATAATTTCATTAAATTTAAAAAAATTTATTACATATTAAGACATCATTGAGCCAGCTGTCATTCTACATTCCAAAAATAAAATGTTTTGGTCCTGCAGAATTGCTTCCCTTACACCGCTTTCATAATTAATAACCCTTCTCTGTCTCTTTTTCTGTCTACAGGTAAAGACAGCACAGGGCTAACAGATTCTGAGTTACCCCAAAACAGTGATCCTGCAGGGATGGATGGCAGCTACCTCAGTGTAAAGGAGTCAGGAGTGAAAAGCCCTCAGCAGCCAAACTCAGAGCTGGCTTCTCCGTTAGACAAGGCCGAAGGAGAGAGCAACAAGGGCAAGAAAAGACGCAACCGTACCACCTTCACAAGCTATCAGTTAGAGGAGCTGGAGAAAGTCTTTCAGAAAACACACTATCCCGACGTCTACGCCCGGGAACAACTCGCACTGAGGACTGACCTGACAGAAGCTCGAGTACAGGTATGAACCCTCCACATATCCATTACCAAACACAATTCTGTGTTTTAAATAACCTTTAACAGTGAGGCTAGACCACCACTACTAATTTTAGTCCAGTTGTGGTCCAAAATGAGGGATGAGATTCAGGTTAAGACCAACATTTTATTTTTTAAAGTTGGTAAAAGAACAGTGACACCAGGAAGAAAAGATATTAAACTCCGCGCATTGACTATTAAATGTAAATAGAGAATACAGAGCAAAAGTGGCTGAAGTTGGCCATCACAAAAGATCATAAAGGAAAAATGGGCTTTCATATTAGCCATGTCCAGAGTCTGATTCTAGCTCAAGACGCTACCTGAACCTCTGTCTGGAAAACCAGAACCTTTATGTGACCCATCCCAACCCCCAACCTTACCCTACATTTGCATATAATCCCTCCAACGACCCCAAATGTGCGCTTTACTTAGAAGCCCTGGATTTACACTGTTTTTCTTTCATTAATGTCCCACTCAGGAAAGAATGTGTCCCTCCCTGCTCTCAAGGGTAGGTGAGAGAACCTGGCCTGAAGCTCCTTCATGTGGTGAGGGTTGCTTATGACCTACATACATGCAAACAACTTTGACTATAACTAAAGAATGATGGGAAACAACCAAAGAACTATGATGGCTCTGTTCCAGGGACGATGAACACTGTCAAATCTTTTTGGAACTTTAAAGTGTAGCCTTTCCTCGTCTACTTTAGGACAGCACAGAAAGTTAACTATTTTAACTACACATAACAATAATGATAGCCACAGCTTTTTTTTTTTTTTTTACAGCAACACGAAAGAAAAAAGAAAAAAAAAAAAAAAAAAAACTTTCCACTACACAAATCAATAAACAGATAGTTCTAAACAGAGAAGAGCCGGGATTAAAAGAATGGAATTTTGGCAGCTCTTCAGACTGCGACCCATGAGAAATCACTTTATGTGTAATTTGTTCTCTAATTCTCAGGTCTCCAAATAACAACCATCTATTCAGGGAAACAATGCATATTTCTATAGAAAAGCAAAGAGGAAAAAAGAAAGAGAGTGCACAGTCAGATAAAATCCTGACTATTTTTTAAAGAAATAGTTCACCTAATAATAGTTCACTACATAATGGTTCACTATTTGTCACTATTTACACACTCAAGTCATTCAAACCTGTGTGATTTTCTTTCTTCTATGGAACACAAAAGAAGATATTTTGAATAAAGTTTCAGACACATTTTCGACATCAATGAGGTCCAAATCATCATAGGAGCCCACTGACTTTCATTGCATGATCAAAATATATTCGTGTTATGCACAAAAAAGTCATGCAGGTCCAGAATGACATGAGGATGAGTAAATGATAGAATTTATTTTCGATTCACCTTTTCCTTTCTAAAAGCAGAGCGGCAACTTCCTAATCCATCAAAGCAAGCGTATGGTGGTGGAGGAGCAGGGGGACTGAAACAGTTCTCTGAGGCCTCTGGCCCCGGTGGGTTCCTGCTTTCGCCTCCCTGCCCCCTGCTGCTGCTGATGGCTCTGATAGAAAAGAAACTCAGAGGAGGCCATCGCAGTCTGTCAGCTCCCACAACATCAAACAAGGGCCAGGTCTCACCGAACTGTTTCCAGGAAAATATGCTGAAAAATAATACAGCCGAGGGGTTTCCTACATGAGCTCTAGACTTACAACTCAAGTGACAGACTCTCTAGGCACCAAAAAAATTGCATCTAGACATTTGATACTAAATGAGTTACACGGTGTGATCAGTGCATATATATGGTGTAATAATGGGAAGTTTGATGATGGATGTTAATCACTCCGTTTATAAATCTCCACTAAGACAACATTTCCTGCATATGATGTAACACCACTAGTGGCCAGTTAACATGAGGTCATTTAATCACTTACTAATGCGATATCCTCATGATTAAGGATTGATGTCTTGCTTGCAGGTGTGGTTCCAAAACCGCAGAGCCAAGTGGCGGAAGAGAGAACGTTTCGGACAGATGCAGCAGGTCCGGACACATTTTTCCACGGCCTACGAATTGCCCCTTCTCACTCGGCCTGAGAACTACGCTCAGGTATAGTACTGTCTTCAGTAATAGCTGAGAGTTAAGGAAATACCAGTAATGAATATTAATTATTATTATTAATGGTAATTATAGAATTGAAAAAAAAAAAATCCATTCTAAAAGGTTCCATTAACAGTTCTTTTGAGGTGCATCTCAATTTGCGTATTTATGCACTATTCTATGCCGCTTTTTAATATAAATAGTGCCATAGTGTGTTCTCACTGAAAATTCCAAAAAGGAAAAGTGCGCTTAAAATCTCTGGAAGATGCACTTAATTAACCAGTAAAAACAGACTCTGATGATGGATGACAAAATAATATATATAATTCATACACTAGATGGTTGGTCATCATTTGGTCCGAGATCTTTAGTCTTTTAAAAACAAGGGTTTCATTCATGGTTCTTTTAGTACTTTTAAGAAAAAAAAATGTAATTCAATTGCCAAATAATTTAAACTATAATAATTTTTTTTTAAATCTCAAAAAAGGTGTGACACAGGTGTGAAAACTGTCTTACAGTTTTTTTTACACTTTGCAGTCTTTTTAGAGTCAGCAAAATTCAAAATGTTTATCTTCAACTACATATTATTATATGAACAATCAGTAGCTCCACTGTTTTAAGTCGCACACATAGTTGTAAACTGTAAGTGTTTTATTGCCTTAAAAAAAGTAATTTGTTCAAGAATCATACTTCACTTCTTGTGCTTTGTTTTTGATGCAGTAAATAGAATCAAATCATTCGGAGTCATTCATTAAGGAATCAGACTACACTGGTCACACTTTACTACAACAGTAACAACAGATTACTTTACTAAGAATATACATGCGAGAACCGCTACTGGAACCAACTTATTTTCTTAATATTCATCATTACCCAACTGAATTAAGTTAACTTATTAAAATTTGGATGTGGAATATTGCTGATAAACATTTGGGAATTTCAAATGAAAAACAATAGGAAATCAGATCTGTGTAACCACTGATAATTGCGGGACCTGAGGAAGCACAATGTCGAGGTCAGGTCACACCAGGGCTGTGGCCGAGAACGACACGTTCCCGGGACCTGAGGAAGCACATTGTCGAGGTCAGGTCACAACAAGAACGTGGCCGAGAGCCAAAGAATCTCCTGGATTTATTATGAATATGTGGCCGGGTCGGAAGGCAGGGGTGGCTCTTTGGGGAGCGCGCCTGCAGCTGTGGAATGCAGCTTTGCTCACATCTGGGGCATCTCCCTGAGAGGGCTTTCATCTCCCTCCATAGCCCTCCCTCAGACCCCCACCTCCCCAGGCCCAGAGCAGAATACAGCCCTATCAATTCACTCTGTGCTCCCTCCGCTCAGCAGAGGAGGTTACTCTGGGTGTTGAAGGAACGTCTAGAGACAGGCATTCCTCCTCCACACTAGGCAAGCAGCTCCAGCTCAGTATGGGACCAGATGAATGCCTCACAGCTCTTGATAAATCTCCACGTCGAGTACCACTGAGGATTCTGCACCTTCGCCAATGCAATATTTCAAAACAAGAGGAGTCAGACTTGATAAATGCTCTCATGACTATAAGTTACATTAATGTTATTAATGCTGAGATTGCTGAGAATGTAAATGCACTATACCTTATCCTTCTGCGTTCGTCTTTGTTGCAGATTCAGAACCCTTCTTGGATAGGCAGCAGCAGTGCGGCGTCTCCGGTGCCCGGCTGTGTTGTACCCTGCGACTCGATCACTTCCTGCATGCCGCCTCATCCACATGCTGCTAGCGGAGTGTCTGACTTCTTGGGTGTGCCCAGTCCTGGAGGTCACATGGGACACACACACATGGGCAGCTTGTTTGGGAGTCCAGGCATGAGCACTGGCATTAATGGGTACGATCTAAACATGGACCCCGACCGGAAATCCTCCAGCATCGCGACCCTGCGAATGAAAGCTAAAGAACACAGCGCAGCCATCTCTTGGGCTACATGACTCCCCCAAGTTCAGGACATTATCTCGAAGTCCCTCAACAAATAAAAGAAGGAGGAGCAAATGTGAACATCAGTTAGCCACAAAAGCATGACCTGGGAACAAGGAGTGCATGGATTGACAAAGAAAAGAAAAAGTAATAGAGATACCAGGAGATTTATTTCCATTTGAAGTCTAGAGAGACAAGAGATAATAAAAATGAGAATGTTCTGGCTTTGAAACAAGAAAGAAATACAAGAAAGATGACAGAAACCTGACATCTGAATGCATACAAGAATTAAATGAAAAAGAAAAAATGAATAGAAAAAAACCCCTGCACTTATCCGCAACTAGTGTCCCATTTGTAAACATACATAAATTTATCTAAACGCATCTGGCTTCGTTTTCATCTCAGCATAATCAAAACCTGTTCAATTCTTGTTCTGTCACAGACTCCTTTTCCAAATATGCCATCTCTGCCTAGACAGTTCCAAAGGACTGACAATAGAGTTTCTTACAGTAAAAATTTTCCTATTGTAGGCTTTATCCAAACATATATGCAGCAGTAATCGGGGGAAACTGAACTTGCTTTTTATATTAACTCCCCATTGACAAAATCCCTCATTGATCACACCTACATTGATTAGTTTGTTCATATTAATTCCATTGGTCTTGTAGAAGTCTATCAACAATTTGAGATAAGTACTACACTTCAAACACTTGAGCAAAAGTCTGTTAGGAGTTGCGCATCAGGCATGGTAGACTTAAGAGGGCCAGAAAAGACAGACATAACTGTCCCACAGGTAACTAGGCACTCAAAGGAGGCTTCCACTTGCTTTGATGAATTGTGTGCCCCCCAGTACCAGTAGTCTCAGGAAAAAAAGGAAAAAAAAAAACAAGTGCAATCTGCTAACGCAAACCCAATGTAATATAGTTAATCACTGTCTAATTACAGGAGGTAGTCACTATCCACACTGCAATCTATCTTTCTCTTCTTTGCAACCACATTTATATTTTTTTCTGGAAGAAAAAGTCGTTTTAAAGCCGTTTGGGAAGATTTGACAGCCGCATACTCAATACAAATCTTGGATCCGTCATACAGACTGTCAAATTGATTGTCAAACATAACTAAGAAATACAATCTACAGAGAATGAAGGATGCAAAAATAGGTTGAGAACGTTTTCTTTCTTTGTTTTGAATATCACGACACACTTGCATTTTTTTCAGCGAGCATTGGTGCCTTAGCTACTCTGCCTTACTCCTGGCTATATAATATGTACGGTGTTGGGGCTGTCTGAAATTTGAGCCATGCTTCATTAATTTTTTGGCAGAAGTCCTCATTGCACCATCTCAAATGAAACTATCAATTTGCCAATCTGGGCATCATCCAGCAAGGCTCTGATTGGGTGGAAGCAATACTGGGCTTTGGCATGTAATCACTGACATTCCCATGCACAGAGGTGACAGAAATATAAAGCAAGCACTATTGCACGGTACTACAAGCTTTCTGCTTTTCCAGTCAGATTTAGATCAGGTAAAACAAAGCTGTTTGAAATCTGGAGACGAATCTGATACGTTCTGCCCTTTGGAGAAGCCATTTCTAATTTGTAAATGAGAACCACATTTCCTTTCCTTCATTCTACTGTGCAGCTTATCTAGATCCCTGGAGATACTTATATATACACACACACAACTTTTTTATTATCATACCAGAGCAGTGACTTACCTGGTTTAAGGGGGTCACAACATGGAATCAAGTTCTGTTTTAGAATGACAAAAAAACTAGGCTTCCATTACTTTTAAGCAAAAACTCAAATATATAACGCACTGGAAGCAATATCATGTTAAACCTTGTAAAAGAACCTCGTTGCCAAAAGTTAATTAGAAATCACCTGCTTACTGCTGCTCAGTCTCGTGCCCCATGGCCTGGATACATGATATGTAAAATGTAGGGGCTACCTGAAGTTTGAGCCATGCTTCATTAATTTTCTGGCTGAAGTCTTCATTGCATCTCATGACTGAGCATCTCATCACTTAACGTAGCAAGGGACCTGCTAAAAAAGCCAGTGATAATGTTAATGTGCTTTTCATTAGGACTAAAACTAGTAAGTTGATCTGTCCTGCACCGAATCCATCTGCCAGAGCAACAGTTCAACCACCAATCCTCATTGAGAGCCATGAAGAGTACTGCCAGTGCAGAATTGTGAGTCCTGACACTCTCACTTTGGCCTTTAAGAGGTTGCCGAGAGGGTGAAGTGACTATAGTGTTCCGGTGTTCTGGGAAAGGACAATCCACACATCTGTGTGGGGTAAATGCGAAACAAACATGCCTCGCACATGCTTCCCCTTCAGCTGTCATGGCTCTTGTTTCAAAGCCCCATGCTGAACACAGCCTGGCCTGCTACCCCAGCCAAAGCATCAGCCCTCAGCGACACTCGTGCTCTCAGGCAGACATTTTAATTAACACCGAGACATCTGCGGAGAGGGATTCTGTGACAGAACAGAGCAGCGTGGGCTCTATGTTAGCCTATCTTTAACTATTGTGGAACCGGGAGGGGCGTCGATGAAGCTCAGGTCAACACTATCATTAGTTTGTGTAGTATCAGCACACATATACACTTCTGTAGCATTAAACGAGTAAATCGCCACATAACAGAACACGTCATCACATTTGCTTTTGATACTCTTTTATTTCATTCAAAGGTAAATCAGCATAACATGTAAAACGGTTCTGTAGAGAACAGATTGTACAGTACCCAAAGGAAATGTTAATTATCAGACAGTACCTTGCAGATGCCTATGAGTAACAGAGATTCTTAAGTCTCTGTCCCATCTCCCAAAACTTATACTACTGAAGTAGGCATATCCAAGTACTAGAATAATATAATGCTTTGTTTTGTGTGTGGTCGCATGTATGATTTTCTTTGGATTCTTTTCTTGCATAAAATACCCTTGGAGCCTTTCTTTTGTAAAAATATCCTTATTAGAAATATATTATTTTATGTGTGACTGAGGGTTTTTGCTTTTGTTGTATCGTGGGTCTGGGGTTAAAATGCGATACATTTGGGTTTTTGGTATGCAAATGAACTTAAAATAGTTGTGATGGCTTAAAGCTAAATGTATGGCTTTTGAATAATTTTTATTAATTATTTACTTTCAAGCTTGTTTATGTTCTATATATATTGTGTGATTTACAACCGTAAGTTATTGCACTTACATTTTTAATTGTTTGAATTGCTTCGAGAACATCTGATTCGAGTGGAATAGCACTATAAAATATGTGTACTCGATCAACTGTCGAGTACTTTGAGAACATAATGGTAAAGTACCGAGGTCTGGTAAACTGTTTATTATCCATGTGCTTTTTCAGATTTGTTTCAAGGCTAAAACAAATTGTACATGGAACAAAACCTCTTGAAAAAAAAAAAGGTTTTTAGCAAGACACTGTTCGTGGGACATTTGACATACTGTTCTCAGAGCCGGATGTAACAGCCATCTTACATTAAAGACATACTGAAGACATGAACTTCCTGTTGGCTAAAGACTGTGCTTTTAACTAGGCTTTCCTTTAATGGGTTAAAAAAACAACATTTAAAAGTTTAGCCATTACAGGTGCTGGGTATTCTACTATGGATGTTTCATTTCATTTGACATTTTCTGTGTGCTCATTTTTGTTTCTTTAAATCCAGATGAATAAAAAATTAAAAAAAAGAACTAATCAAATATACCTGTGCAATATATTAGTAATTGTATTGATAAATTGCAATCTATGAATGCAGCTTTCGATTTATTAATACAGAAAAGCTGCACGAAACAAAGTGGATGGAAAAAAAAAAACTTTAGCTGCTGATATTGTACAAGTGGATTATGAAATGCATGTTAATAACAGGTGACAAATGCCCTCATAACGCAGAAAAGGATAGCTCAGATAGGCCTAAATGCTTGACTTTGATGATTAGCTCAGAGATAAATGCTCCCTTCTCATACACATTTTTCTAAAGTAGACAAATTTTGCATAAAACACTTCACACACTGCAGACAATCTGGCTCTCTGTGTGTAATTGGTCATTCAGTGACATTTCCAATACTTAACATGTTGCTGAAATTTCCTTACCAGATTTTCACTTTCTTCATGCAGGAAGAGTCAGAACAGGAATAGATTTCTCTTCACAAGTTCACTCCCAATGGAGATGAAATGAATTTATCTCGGACGTGCAGGCTTCTGAACCTAAATCACTCAAAGCGCTCAGACATCTGCTTCTGGGCCCAGACAACAGAGGCAGCTGGAAAAGAGACGACAGTTCATCCAAAATCTGCACTAAGTCAACATACGATCAAATTGGGGATGAGAATGAGAATACTCAGAAGTGACAGGAATGAAAACTCAATAATGTACATGAAAACTTCAGAACATTTCACACCAATCAAACTCCAGCAACAACTATTCTAAAATGAGCCGAAATGGCGCCTCATTAATTCTGTGATTTGCGGTCACAAAAGGATGACAACTTGTGTCAGCATGGAGAAGCGCAATGTGTTGAAACCAAATGAATAATCTTGTGAGTTTTTAGAATTTGAACTATTTTTAACTTGACACACTGTCAAGTAACAAATGCCACACTTACATTGTGAGATGCTTGAAAAGCAGCAAGATGCAAAGGTCAAAAAAGCATGTACACAGAGACCACTATTCAAAAAAAAAAATACTTTCAGTCAAAATGACCAAAATGCACATCTCTAAATTAAGCATTTATTTTTCCACACTCTGTTTATTACATATAATACATCTTAATGTAAAAAACAAATAAACAACAAAACAATTCAAAGAAATGGAGATATCAAAAAGAAATGTGACAAGAATTCACTGAGTATGAATGAGTTCTTTGCAATTTCATGGCATTTAACGATACTGTTATTAGCTGTACAATATATAACTCTGCAAATAGTGTATTTTAATATCTAGTAATACCCAAAATAGGCTTTAATTAGGCAGACGTAAGAGTTGAACTAAATAGGGAACATTTATATAAAATACTTTTTTTCTCCAGCAACATTCAAAAAGTCAGCAACTGAATATAAAATGAAATGTCAAACTGATATAACTTAAACTGTAGTAGTAAAATCACTAACAGTGACTGTGCAAAATAATATCTCAAGTACAAACTAGTGGCCCCAACTCAACATCTGAGACATTCAGTTCAAGTTATGCTACAATTTGTTCAGCGTGATGCATATCTTTAAAAATAAAAAACAAGTTAAACTATAAATGTAAAATTACATCAATATATATCCTCCACTGTTTACCAGTGGGCTGTGATTCATCTGTATGCATTTACTTTCCTCACACGGATATAGTGTCAACCACAAGGAAGGTTTAAGACAGAGCCAAGCTCTGACCTGTCCTCATCAGACTCGATGTATCATCCTGTTTCAGCAACCGTCCTCAAGAGTGAAAACATGATAAGTTATACAGGTTATATCATTTCCCATTACACCACAAGTGGAACGGAACTCCTCATAAGTCATTAGGTCAGATACGGAACGAGAAAGAGAAATCCGGGAGTGCCCATAGCCTGTTTGAGAGATAAAAGTGGTGGGAAAGAGTAGTGGTAGTGTCACAGACTACCAATGTTGGGGAAACTTTTGAGTTTCTCTGGGAAGTCGTCTTTATAGAGTACAGGATCGGCACGGTGCTCGACAACCTTCAGAGGCATGGTGCCAAACACAGAGGCGAACTTGTTTATGCACTCAGACCTGGAAAGAAAAAAGAAAGAGGCTGAAAGAGTGGAGGAAAAAGCGAAACATGGATCATGGATCTGATGCCAATGTCGGAAAATTTGTCTTCCAAAAAATGGCTGTTCATGGTACAACCTAACTAGAGTTTTGTAGAAGCATCAAAATCATGAGGTACATGCACAATGTAAAACAGGGATCAGATGTTTTCAAAATGCCTGGCATTCCCAGGACCCTGCACTTATGACAGGAAATGTATCGAGAGAGAAGTATAACCAGAGGCAGGAACCCCTTCATCAATCTAAACAAGTGTGGCCCCTGGAAGGGTTCAGCAGTCCCTGATTGGCTGCTACCACTCCGTATTCATGTCAAGGTCAAACACTCTCTCGCAGGCTGCTTCGGCTGCTTTAATTCCTCAAACACAGCTTGGAAGTATGAAACCACTCATCAAGACTGATTATGCTTCAGCGGATGAGGAAACGGATTTGATTTTCAAGGAAAATCAATT